ATGAAGAGGAGTTTGAAGGCTTTTAAGGTGAAACTGTCACGCCAGCAAACTTGCTAGGGACTTGCCCGGCACTTGCTCTCTCCCTCTATTTGTTATCTTACTTCTATCATTGACAGTCCGTCTAGGTTGTGGGCTGCTTGCCTGTGTTCCTGAGAAGCATCTACGGTACCAGTCTATAGAGTGTGTTTTCTTTAGTGAATTACCAGTATGTTTACCGGTAATAAACTTGCACTGTTTTATGTAAATGTTTGATTACATACAGCCTTGTGACAGTTTTCCTGCATGTCATAAGCATTTGAATATAAATTAAAATGTTAAAATCAAATCTGATATTGTTTTACCTTTTATTTGGTGTGTGGAAGGTGTGCGGAAGAGGGGGTAGTCTTATACGGCGAGTATATAACAAACTCTGTATTTTGAGTGGAAATGTTAGGGGGTCGTCTTATACGCCCAGTCGTCTTATACGCCGGCAAATACGGTAGAAGCATATTCCGTGTTCATAGATTGGAAGAATTAACATCATTAAAATGTCCATCCAATCTATGGATTCAACACAATCCCTATTAAAATACCAATGGCATATTTCACAGATCTAGAACAATATAGAGAAAGTTAGCCATTGACAAATCATAACTCAGCAAAAATGTATATGGAACCAAAAAAGACCCCAAATAGCTGCTGCAATCTTCAGAAAGAAGAACAAAGCTGGAGGGACCACAATACCGGATATCAAATCTATATAATAAAAGCCTAAGTGACCATTATGGTGGAACGACCAGACGACCAGTCCCTATGTTGCGCACTGACCACCAGGGGGCAGACGCTCAATGCAGGAGCTGCTCCCTGGTGGTCAGTACACTCCCACAGGGGGAGCACTGCTCAGCCAGAAGCCAGGCTCATGGCTGGGGAGCCTCTCCCGCCTCTGTGACAGCGCTAAGGAGCAGCGAGTCAAATGATAAGGAGCCAGCAGGCGGGCAGTAAGGAGCAAGGGGTCCCAGACTCCAAGAGGGCTCAGGCTGGGCTGAAGGACCCCCGCCCTTTGATGTGCACGAATTTCGTGCACCAGGCTTCTAGTTATACTATAAGCCCATTGTAATCAATACAGCCTGGTACTGGCACAAGAACAGGCATAAGGATCAATGTAATGGAACAGAGAACCCAGAAGTCGACCCAAGCCACTATACTCAATTAACATTTGACAAAGAAGGCAAGAGCATTCAGTGGAATACAGACAGTCTCTTCAGTAAATAGTGTTGAGTCTCTCTGTAAAAAATCAATAAAATATATTTAAAAGAAAAAAAAAAAAAAAAAAAAAAAGAAACTAGATCATCAACTTACACCATACACAAGAATAAACTCAAAATGAATAAAAAACTTAAATGCAAGTCATGAAACCATAAAAATCCTAGAAGAAAATGTAGACA